CATTCCTGTCCGATTTTTGGCTGACTCAGAACTTGGACCGTTCACTTCAGGCAACATCAACATGAAGGCAGCTACTTAATGGACTGACTTCTATATTATATCTGACACACACACAAACACACACACACACACACGAAAATATGAGGCCATTAGGAGGAGGCTTATGGAGCAGTGAAACAATTCAGTGTCATTGATAAATAGATTAAGATCCAAAGCAACTTGCTTGACATAACTTCGACATCATTTAACTAAATAAGCAGATTTTATATAATAAAAAGGATTTATGACATGTCAAAAGATGCTGCATGAAGTAGATAAAGAGTGGAAATTGTATTTTCCGTTTTCTTGCCTTAAATGCTCAATCTTTGCTCTGAAAACGAATTATGGAAAATCCTGTTGTCCTCTCTAAGGTCCTGCTCCACATAAAGACATAACATAAAAACGGTGTTATTGGAGCCAACTTGTACATATCCCTCTGCAATTAAAGATATGTTTCTGCAGAAAGGTTCATAAGTTTAGGAAATGACTCACAGGGCAGGCGTTTGTTGTGGAGGTTCGCTGAGGAGGAGCTCATGATGCCGGAGAGTCGCAGGACAGATAATCACTCAGAGAGGATCAGGATGCTGCCGATCATCTCCTCCTCTTCAGCTCCAAGGTGACTGATGCTGCTGCCAACGCTGCTCTGCTTCCTCTGTCGCCTCAGTGGACTCTGAGCCACTCGGAGGAGGCGAGAACAAGTTCAGGGCTTTGTGGAGCCGACCAGCTGACCAATGACAGGGAGGAGGGAGGAGCAGAGGAAGGGATTAAGAAGAGGGAAGGAGGGATTTTATGTAACGGAGTGCGAAGTACCAAGGAGAGACATCAGGCACATGCCTTTGTTATTTTTGCTACACCCCCCTCCCTCCATCCATCCTCCCTTTCTGTCTCTTGTTCCCGGTCCCTTTTTTTTGCAGCAGATTTAAACTCCCTCCCTGTCTCACCTTCAGGGTCAAGTCATGTTTGTATACTGTTTGTGAATTGAAATAGTGTTAATACTCTAAGAAATAAGGTTAGCATTTGTTCAGTACAGATGTATACAATCTGAATAAGTAATGTTGGATTTAAAATGAAAAGCATAGCTGTTGATCTATATTTAAAAATAGATTTGAGCAAAGTTTTTGAATAACAAAAATGTGTTTTCTGTCTTTTTAGATGAATATAGGCATTAGAGGAAATATCTACTTTCACATTCAAGCTAAAAACATGATTGATTAATTTGTCAGTCAATTGACATAACATTAAATCTGGCTATTATTAGACTTTTGATTGTAAAGCCACAAAATGTTTTGCAAGAAAGAATGCCAAATGTTTACTGGTTCCAGGAAGATCCAGTGAGGCCATTTGCAGCCATTCTCTGGTATATAATAATTTGTATTTTGGTAAATCTTTGGGTTTTGAACTGTTGATTTGACAAAAAGAAAAAGCATTTAGATATATAACACTTTGGGAATTTAACAACAGACCAAACCATTTCTAATTAGGGAAAATACCCAGCAGAATAACCCCTATAGATGCAGCACAATTGAACATTTATAGTTGCTGTTTTGGTAGTAGGGATTTCTTAATGTGTTTTCTAAACAGTGTTGAAACATATAGGTAATTCTTCATATGTTTCATTGTACTGATCATTGGCTTAACCCTTCTCTTGCGTTAGGTCATACCCCCCTTCCCATACTATTTTCGGTCAAAATTGACCGGTGTGTTTTGCACAGTGATATCTCTGGAACCCCTTATCCAATTGTGATGGTTGACATCTCATTTGAACGGTCAAAGCAAGTAGAATCAAGGGGTGACAGACAGAATGACACAAGGGGTGAATTTCATGTTATAAGTTTGCAGTAAGTTCAAAGATAGTGCTTACTGTACATTAGTGTATATTGTTAAAAAAACTTGCCATGTAGGCTGTGTTTACTGGAGATGGAAATGCTTTAGTTAGTGTTATAGCTGAGATTCTTACCGTTCCAATGATGTATGGGATGTATTGATTTAATACAAGCAAGTCAGTGCTTCATTGTACTTTCAACTAAAGTATGTGGTCCGGACCCACCAGTGGGCCCATCAAGTTCAGCATTCACTGCATTCACTATGATGAATATAAAATAAGACACTGATGAACATTTAGAGACAAATAAATATTCAGGGCTCCTCTCCCTCAGGGGTCTCTCCCTCAGGGGCCTCTCCCTCAGGGGCCTCTTCCTGGTCTGTTGACTGTTGGTCAGGCTCATAGTCTGGATCGCTGTTGTCTTCCATTTCTAAGACATCGTCCTCTATTTCTGGTTCAATCTCCTCTTCATCTGGTTCAAAACATTTGTCCAGAGCCTCTAATCGGTCGCCTACTCATTGTGTCAAATGTACGGTGTTAGATTGAAATGTTGACTAACTTGCCTTTCAGCCTCCATTTTCCAGGTATCAGTTACAAAACTTTACCTGAACTTATGTCTTGCTAACTTCCTGTCCTCCATGTTGTGATTCCAGCTGAGACCGAGCGAGGCCAGAGGCTCCCAGATGTGGACGCAGCACAGCAGCTCAAGTTAAGAGAGAGGCAGCGTTTCTTCGAGGAGGTCTTCCAGCACGATGCGGACGTCTACCTGTCCTCGGCACACCTGTGTATCCGAGACTTTAAGAGACGTGAGTTAGACTGCTGGCTTCTCCATGGCTCCAAAATTAATGTTCATACAGATTATTTCATTGCCTCCCCTTCCCCTGTAGCTCCGATTGGCAGATCTGCCATCCATGGAGCGGTTGAACGGTCCGCGGACCCATCGAGAGTCAGATGAGCCTTGATCTGCGAGTCCCTCGGACCAGGAGGCCTTCGCATGTGTTCTTCAGCTCCAGTGAGAAGAGGCCGCGTCCATGACCTCCCCGCTGCCAGTATGCGAAACCCCAGAAGCAGGGCAGGAGATTAAAAATCACACAAAGTAATGCAGGCTACAATATGTATGTGACCAAGGGTAGTCGTATTCATGCGCTTAGGGTGCCGTAGTTTGAATACAGGGAGGAAGTCAGGCTGGGTGGTGTCCGAAAACCCCAGACGTTCAGGAGGGACATTGTTCATGTCCACATTAACAACCCCAATGGCGAACGAAACATGGTGTATTTGGTTAGTATCTTTCGTATTTGGAAACTGCCTTTTCCGTGCTATTTAACCCGAAATCACGAATATTATAACGGGATTTTATCCGAGGAATAGCGCGTCCTGCGAACTTCACGGGCTTGTGCAGGAAGTAAAAATACGAAATATAGATACCTGCGTGAATGGGGATTCCTAACACTTTTTTGTATCTAACTCACAATCCAAGGAAACAACAACAATGGGGAGGTCATCAACAATGGACTCTTTCGACATGTCCTCGAGGGTCTTGATGCCAAGTCCCGCATGTCGTCCACGTCTTCAAACTCCTCCTCTGACAGCCAGAGTCTGGACGCCCATCGAGGAGAAATCTGTGAAGTCAGGTCAGATGATGAGAA